CACATGTAGCTGCCCTCTACGGTCTCCGAGCCACATTTTAAACAGGGGTTTGCATCCTGAACGTAGTTCTCAAGCTTAGTTCTCACTAAGGTTGTGTATACTGTGGTGAACATGGTAGTATCTAACCTGGTGAATGCCCGTTTTAAAGCTCCTGGGGTTTTAAAACCCTTAGCTGCGACCTCCCGGCAATCGGCCATCGTCTTAAGATCATGGCTCACTGTCACTTCGGACCATGGGTACCGGCACTTCCCCTATGCTGCACTCAGTAACCTTTGTATCCCCATAAGTGCGTTTAGAAACACTTTGCCGCGTCGATTGGCATCAGCCACTCTTCAGACTAGTTATTCACCTTATTCAAGTCTGCCTGAAGTGCACATGAGTCTGCGTCTCCAGATTTTTACATCGTCAGCGTATAATAACATTGGGGGCTGTATTAATCTTGGGAGTTCATTTACATACAGTAGAAAAAGTAAAGGATCTAGAACGGAACTTTGAGGTACTCCACTAAATACTGGTTTCCAGATGGAACACATGAAATTCCCTCCTACTTTCTGCCTGCGACCTACTAGGAAATTCTAAAGCCATTTTAGGTGACGCGCGGCAATACCGAGATTTTCTAACTTCAGTAGCAGTCTATTGGCTGGCACCTTGGTAAAAGCCTTACTGAAATCTATTTGGACAACATCCACTGATTTTCCATTGTCTAGAGCCTTTATCTATCGCTCCCTTGCTATAAGAGGATTTGTTGCGCAAGGTAAACCTTTTCTAAAACCAGGTTGTTCGCTGTTTAACAAGTTATTGGTTTCCATAAGTGTCATTATGGCTATTATTTCCAATATTTTAACTACAACATTGTTGAGGCTTACAGGTCTGTAGTTCGATGGAAGTTGCCATAGTCCTGTTTTATGTATGGAAGTGACGATTACGTCCTTCCAGTCCATAGGTAACACACCTTGGTCAAGTGACATGTTGAATATCACAGTCAGTGAGGCCGTGATATATTTTGCAATATGTATCAAGATTTTAGGCTGCAGGGCCTTAAGTGTATCGTCTTGATCGAAGTCCACGGTGAGCAGGTGGTTTGTTGACTTTGTATTTTGGTCTGGTTCTTTGACTAGAGAAGGTTCCTGAGTGAAAACTGCCCCAAAACAGTCAGCCATCGCTTCTGCTCCTTCCTGATCTTCTTCTATTATTTCAGACTTACTCCCTTCTTTAATTTGGTTGGGAATTCAATAATGCATCTTTGTTCTGTAGTTTATGTACGAGAATATTTTTTTAGGTTGTTCGAGTGCAGATTGTATCAACTGCGTTTCATATTTTCTTTGAGCTTCCCCAATTTCAATTATACACGTGTTTCTTACCGATCTGTAGCGTTTCTTTGTACTCGCTGTGCCAAGGTTGATAGCAACATCCAAACATTACTTCTTTTGTCTTAGCAGACGTCGATTAGCCCGGCCTATCCAGGGATGTCCGTGCTTCTTCTTCGTATCTGGGTATGGTTGAGTTACCCGGTTGTATAACTGCCTGAAATCAGCCGATGCTGTGGAGTCGGTTGCCTCTTTATCTGCATTCCATACGTTAGAACGGGCAGGCGCAACTCTTTGACAGGCAATCTCAGCTGTGAATTTGAATAATCTGACCGCATGTTCACTTCTCCCTAGTGGTGGAAGGAAAATCATTTGACCAACGTCGTCACCGTGTGTGAAGACTAAATCTAAAGGAGAAGAACAGTTTCTTAAGTCATATCTTGTGAGATTTCCAATGTGTTGAGATAAAGCTAATCCAATAGAGGTTTCTAACAGTTTGCAATCAAATGACGTTATCGATGACTCTATTTTTAAGTTAACCCAGTTTATATACGGTGCATTGAAGTCGCCTACTACAAGGCTTTTACCCTTGTTACAACAGGACTTAAGTTTACTCAGGAGGAAATCATCTGCTACACATTATGGACTGCGATATACTACAACTAATTCAATATCCTGCCGTCTGCACTCCAGGTTGCATCGCACCAGTTCACATGTGCCTGAAACACGTGCCACTGTTTCAACTACTATTGTAGTCAGGGTACATTTCGTGTACAGGATAACCCCACCTCCCCTACGGCTAATCTCTCAGCCCAACTGAATAGAAAACCGGTCAACTTAATTTCATTATCTAATACTCCTGACGGTAACCCAGTTTCTGGGACATGAATAACATTTTGGGGATTTATTTACCGCTACAACGTCGACCGTCGTCTTGAAGGATCTACAGAAAGATATTCTTGTGTGCAAGGATGGTTGTGCACGGTTTTATTAAAGATGACTTTTAAGTCACCATTTAATGCACAAACCCAAAGTCCAGATTGACAATGGCTATATTTCGACCTGAAGGACAAGTTTATTCGGAATAAGACACATAGATGACTGACGTCGTCTTCTTAGTCTAGGTTGTGGTGTTGAGTTAGAAGTTGTATGCTCTTCGGAATAATGATGATCACTATCGAACGGGAATTTTAGTCCTAACGTGATTTGCATTTATCAAACTTTTGTCGTCTTCTTACGCAACAAAAGTACCATTTCAGTTCTAAAGAATCTATCCTGAGCTATACGTTCGGTAGATTACTTTTTTTTAGTTTCACTATATTTAACAGTTACCTGTGGTTTTGCCTCAACTTACTATTCGTTTTTTTGTTTTTCACGTACAGACTAGTTTCAGTTTATATCACTCGTTTTATCCATTTTTGTCCGTTTTCAGTGTGCATTTTAGTGTTTTTCAAAGGTCTAAAGCTTTTGCAAGTATCTATAATATAGTTTGCTTCAACACAGTCATGAAAAACTCATGCAAACGTCCGGTATGCCGTTTTGCTGTTACAACCGGCATGCAGTGCGACAACTGCAAAGGTTGGTTCCACGAAGCATGCACAGATCTGACAGCAACTGCTTACAACAGACTCAGCAAGTCAGAGCAAAGGTGGGTGTGTGTCACGTGCAGCACAGACTCTGTAGTCTTGCTGAGTAACATCATTGTCCTACTGACAGGTCTTCGAAACAAGTTGTCAGTTAACTTGGATAACGATAGTAAAAAAATCGGTAGACAAACAAGAGCGTGCGACGGACACAAAAATAGGGATGCCGATAGGTATACCACCGATGGAGCACCCTTCAACACTAATGATGACGTCTCGAGGCTCAGCACCATCATTACGTCGACAGTATTAGACTCCCTAAGCAAACTCGGGTCTCCCAGCTCAGGGTCCCTGAACACAACAGTGGTTCCCCAAAACCCTGTAGGTGATTCGACCCACGTTAAGACTGCTCAAAAGAACCAGGCATCATTGCCTAAGCCGAGCAACCCAAGTGTTGCTGTACGGAAAATAACTGGTGATTTGGTCGCACAGTCTACCCCCAAGTCTGTTCGTCCAGTCAACAAAGAGCCCAAGACTCAAAAACGCGCACCGACCTTCAAACAACAAGTTACTAAACCTGAACCCATCGTGAAATCTGGTAAATTAACAACAGTTCGTGACGATTCTCTCATTATCATGAACCTTAATAACAATCCTGATCTTCCTCTCAGTCTGCAGGACAAAAACGTCAGGATGCTCTGGGGTCAATTGAACAAGAAGCTCGAACTTTCTAGAATAAAGCCTTTGACGGTCACCCGGCTCACTCGAGGAAAGGATTATAAGCATCTAAATCACCCGAGGCTTCTCCGAGTAACACTTAAGAATGCTACCGACGTAGAGGACGTCTTGCTAGCAAGTCACTTAATGAAATCCGATGGTAACGTAAGAATATTGCCCGACATACTGTACTCTGAGCACAATATCCGCGGAAGAAACATAGTTGTGCAAGGTATACCGGAAAATGCAGACCCTACTCAATCAAATTCTGACATCAGGGAATGGAAATTCATCAAACAGTCCATGAGGCTCAAACACATACTGACTCAGCATCTGAAGAGACTAGCCAAGAAGGACGGCGATCCTAGACCTCGTCTAATGAAGATAACCTTCCCATCTTCCCACATGGTGGCTGCAGTTCTGGAAGCATTTCGTGTCAACAGACGTCGATTGCCACCTGGAATCCACATGCACCCGGATTGGCCAAATGAAGCTAGGACCAAGCACAAAGGCAAGTTGGAGCTGACCATGCCACTTGTGGACTGTCTAAATGATAAAAAAACGTGTAAAGTACAGGGCCTATCACCTCGGCAAACCTCATATAGGTGGGCTACCTGTCCATTCACATAAGGCTCATACAGAAAAACAGGACGAAGCTAACGCGTTCCAAATTGAAAGCATAAACTGCTTATATATAAACGCCGCGAGTTTACCAAACAAATTGGATGAATTACGTGAACTTGGCAACGCTAATAAGGCTCAACATACCTAGGTTCCTGCCTGGAGGATTCGGTGATCCCCTGCTACTAGACACGGAAGCCTGTTAAGCGGAAGCTTCTTCTATTCCGTCCACAACCATTTGAACCATTTGAATATCATGATCTACATCTTGAAGACAAACATCGGATTCTGACGAACTGTGTTTACGTCCATATGTACAGCCATATCTGACGAAAAAATACTTTGGAGTTGGGTCATCATTTTTTTTAACTTACTGAAATAACGTACTCAGTATGCGTATACTGCAAAAATAATTATTAACCACATAAGTCATATTACTTTATGTACGCAATCTCCCAAGTTTGTCGAAATCCACAAGGTTTGGGGAAATTCGGAGGTTTTAGTGCCATTTTCCTATCAAATGGGTAAAAGTTTCCCCAGAATTGTGAGATTCCTTATTACTGAGGACTGAAGGTCGTCGAGATGACATAATGTCGTTGAAGATTCGTCCTATATCACGCACCATCACGATGGCATCATCTTCGTTACTTGAAGGATGGACGTTATCACACATAATGTGCCTGAACTCCATCCAAATCTGAAAATGTCTTGATTTGACCGCTTCTTCACGAATTATCGAGCCGACGCACCAATCATTTTACGGCGGTTTGACCTTCAAGAGCTCAGCAACCTCCATCAGTGGACGATACCGTTGACGCGTTGATGCATTTGCGGCACCCTATTCGAAAACACCTGAACGGAATCAAGTAATCAAAGCATAATTAGACGGCCGCCTACCTTACTTGTAAAAAATTACCTGTTTTTATGCAACACTCAAAAGCAGTGTATGCATAGATTAATTTTTTTATATCCACATATTTACCTTAAGCGTAAGGTAAATATTAGATACTAGTATCCAATTGATGTGTTTGATTTTCTGCAGAAAAATGTATTTGGCAGTATGCAAAGCATCATAGCTAGTAAATTTACGAGCCGATCTTTAAATATAGTAAACGGAATGAAAGTTTATCCAGGTTATCTGTGATCTGTTTTGCAGCTGGCCAGCTGCATAATCCGGATTATGTTTTTCAAGCCCGATATCTGGATTTTCGAGAAATTGCGAAACTTCAGATGAATCTTGGAATTTACCACAAGTTCACATCAAAATTCGTAGTCTCTTCCGAAGTTTGAAGGAGTTTCGGTAAGGACCAAAACTCTTGAGTATTTCCCTTAAACAGCTTGAAATTCTGTGGAAAAATCTCAGACCAGGGAAAGTCTTGAGGTTTTCGTCTCACTCCCCTAAGTTTTCTAGTTCGGGTTCCCAAAAAGCTGTCAAAATTTCCCTCGAAGTTGGGAGTCTTTTTCTAAATAGAAACCCCTCAACGGTTCAACATCTTGTCTGTGATACCTAAGTTCTTAGTGCTAACATTTTGTATCTAGTGTCCAAGATGTCATATACTTGACTAAGGAATCAGATCATACTTTTCGTAATCATCGAAGTAGTAAATTTCCTTCTCAGTGTGTCTAGATTCATAAACACTTTTCTTCATTTTAAAATCAAGAATATTCTGATCTTCGATTTGCCAATCCTTTTGAGCGTTTATTTTCCACAGGGCCAACCACGTGATTCTTGTAAGTTGGCATTTTATCAGACCAGCATTTACGTGTCTATGAGCCTATATTTAAAGTATTTCACTTATTCCAAGCTTCTACTTCATTTTACAATGTGGTATCTTTGCGATCACATTTTCAAACTTCATCTCATGGCCTTTGCTAGGGACCTAGCACAATCATACTCCTCAGTCGGAAGTAGATGGTAATATTTAAAAACCGAAATCTTGGCTGCTCTAGGACTTCGATATTGGAAATTTGATCTGTCTCTGTAATGTGTTAGTTAGTGGAAATAAACCAACTTAACCGTTTTACTTTACCAAAAACATGTGCATCTTTACCATATTCACCGGTTTCGGTTCCTGAAAAATCAACTAAGTATTTTTTATGACAAGTACAGTAGAACAGGATACTACGAACTATGAATGCTGCTGTTGGAGATTATGGATTCTGAACATATCGCTTATCGGAGCACTTTTTTCGAAAACAATATAATTTCACCTTAGCAACCCCCTGTATATTGACATGCATAAAAAGCCATTTTTCGAAGTGCTGAATGCCTCTCAGAGAAGTAATTCAGAGTAAATACTTCATCCTTTACTTATGACTTCCATTCACTAGAGTGTGTCATACTTGTCTATATCTTTGTACACCTGAACATGAGGTGCTACTACCAGAAATTCATTTCACAAAATCAAGGTAAATAATGTTAATATTTAAATTTACTTGTCACATTTATAAGCCTTCGTACATTATAAAGAGTTGACTGTTGAATCTTCTGAATGAACACTAGTTATCTGATATGTCACTCTATTGAACAAACGTATTTGGTATTCATAATTCAGCAACCATTATTCTTTATACATACAAGCATTGAGGGATATCTCTATTTCTTTCGTGTTTCCATTAGGAACCACGTCTTATCAACGTTACTTATTTACTTAAGGGAAAAAGTGCAAGTTTGCGAAAAACCTTAATGCTAAAGTCGCTACACTGTAAAAAAATTAGCCAGGAGATAAACAAAGAATTGGAAGTAAGAGTTTTGTTGGTAATGAAAAACAAAATTTGTAACTCAGAGAAAGGTAAGTAACTGGCATATGCTCTTCATCGCGATCATGATGATCCTATGTACCACAATCAAATAGTCTACATCTGTTGAAATAATTTGGTTTAATAATGCGATATCATCGAATGGCGTTTTATTGGTCTATATCAACCACCCAGTAGATAAATGTCTACAGTTTCGTCAGTCATTTCATCACCTTTAACTATCCTTCTACACCCAGCCTCTGCATTACTCACCTGGTTCCACCATAAGCGACTACTGTTCCAACAGTTACTGTGGTCAGATCTTAAAACTTTATGCTTGTTAAAGCAAAATATATTGACCAACTGGACCAATGTACTGCTTTCTAATAACCGGGTAACAACTTTAGACAAATATTACGAGATATCTGACCAAATTATCCATAACTCTTATGGGTAGATATAATAATCAGTATTATTTGAAGATGGTATATATCGTACACTAGCGTCAGCTGGAAAACCAGTGGATATTAAATAGCTTCGGGTATGTACCATCCTAAAGCGGAGCTTCTTAGCAATAATAGTATACGACCCTACATGGGATTAGTCTCTTCTGATTATAGGTGAAGTTTTAAATAAAAAGGGGATATAGTTATTAGTAAGCCTGTACTTTTGACTTATAAATTTCCATGTTACAGCTTGTGGGTTAATTGTAAGAAATATTTGTAAATTGTGTCGACATAATTTTTTATTATCACTATGAATTTCCTAATAATAAACATTGTTAAAATTTATTCCCGGTTTGCCTGATATGATGATTTTCAATATAGATTGTGGTCTATGATTATTGTATTAAAAAACACGTGTTTCAGTATCAAGTATAAACAAATTTTTCACTTTCAGCGATAATATATTGTACTCTAATGCTTGGTAAAATCGGTTACGATGCGTCCTGGTTATCTTCAATACCGTGGAAGGCTATCCACTATGCTCTGTTATTTTTGATGATTGAAATAGTGACTTTTGCGTATGGAGTTATGGTGTTTATTCTCCTATACCAAACCTACATTCCAACCGTAAAATTGGAAAGAGAATTAGATTTAGTGTTTGAGTATGCTAACCTTCTCTTTACTTCAATTTTAGTACAAAATGTAATGTACGAACGGGGTGTTCCAACGTTTGCAGTTTTCCTACAGCCAATTTCTCTGTTTCTGAAAGTGGGATATCTGTTAGTTTCTTGTTCTAAATTATGAATAGTTTGTAGCTCTTAACACCCAAATATCCGTACATGCTCATGCTAAACTTATGGCTTCCAGATTCCATTCATAATAGAAATGCAGGTGAGCGGTTTCTATCCTCACATTCCCCTCTTTATGGTTTAGTGGTCTTAGTTTTCTATCATTTAGTTATGATCTCCAAGTGAATACAAAACTAGATGTGTATCTAAAGGTATCTGGTCGGAAAACCATAGTATTAATGTTATTTTTGCTGGTAGTCACCTTCAAAATGTATTTTAAAACCAAAAATATCCTATTCTTTTTGGGACCCATAACCACTTTGCAAAAACCAATCTCAGCTCACCCAGCACATTGTCAACGTATGATTGTAATGTAGAGTAATGTTGACTATAATCTCTGAGAAGCTTAAAATCTCTCCAAGACGCTAAATGTACTGATAAACAATGACAAACTAAATTTACAACAAGGTCTTTGAGCCAATAATCGTCAAGGGTTATTATCTTATGACACTGATTGTCATCTCATCTGGACTAGCAGTTGCATCGTATAATTCGATGTTAATTTATTTTAAATCAAACAATTATGAATTACTTATCAGTGCAGAGCTGTATTTCAAACACAACCAACGTTATTAAGTAAAGTGCATTATCCGTGGTTGGTTGAACATCGTTTTATATTTCTAGATGATCAATAACCTGCTGACGTTGAATAAACTGTTCAATAAAATACAAATTTATAGTGTTTAGTACTGACCAATCTCGTGTTTTTCTCAACTTTCTACCCCAGTATATAATTGTATCTGAAAGATTTGAATCATCTGTGCTTTTACTTTGTAAGACAGGTGCAAACCATAATCATCCGAAGGCATAAAAATTTGACAAGCAGTAGATTTTAGTGAGACATTCTTCGCTTTTTCTATTTAAGCAATTTTTCACGTCATCATATTTCTATTAAATGAACTGTACTGTAGAATGTACGTGCTCTTTTCCTTATTGTTGTTCATTGTTACGTTGTGTTCTTACTAAGGTACTCATTATTATCTTAATACTGAATATTATTTTTTCATCAGGTATGAGTATTATCACCCTAGAACTATATGGCCGTGAACATGTTCTTATACAGCGATTCCGAAAACCAGTAAGTTTGAAGTATTGCTGTGAAAATTCCAGTCTTATTTGTTAACGATTGTTTAAAACAATTTAAGTTAACAGCATTCCACATAATTTGTGCAAATAGTTAAAAAATACTATGTATTTACGCATAACTCTTTAAGTAGATGCTTCAAAAATCAGCCACAGTGATAAACGTATCAGCTACCGTTAATAGGTTGAAATTTGAAACCATAGGTCTTTCATTTTACTGGCAACAGTATGTTTCTCCCAAGATTATAGCCAAACGAGACTATTCTCGAAAAATCAATACTATGCTATTGGTCCTCCAAAGATTTAGTGCATTTGATCTTCAACCATCGTTTTGTAACAAAGCATAAAATATCAGGAGATCGCACTATTATCTTTTGAAAAACTAAACAAATTAGCAGTTAAGTAAAAATCAATTTATAGATTTTGTTACTGAATCCATATTCACAAAATGGGACAAAGTAACAAACATAGTGTAAATTTTACTTACAGTTATGCAATAAAACATTGTACGACATTGATATATACTATTTTAATCTATTGATTGGAGCTCAAAGCATATAATCTTTCTAACTTGACCAACGACGTTTATATTTGTAGTATTAAAAACTCAATCGACGTGAAACTTACTACTTATAACGCTAGTCAATTCAAATTCGATATCTTATTTAGTGTAATACGATAATTTTGTATCGTTGGCTGTAGAGCCATATCACAAAGTTATCTAAAGCGAGTGTTCGCTCCAACATTCTTCGTACTGTGTTCAAATCTGTTTTCTCAATTCACTTCCAACCACTTAACTTGATTTCCCTACTTCCTTTATCTTTTAATATTAAAACAAGAAACTTCCCAATCCCCTTATCCGATTTTCATCTAAAGGAAATGGTGCTAATACCACTACTGTTATGGTAATATTCATAAATTCTTAATTGCATCGAATAACTATAAAGTGAAATGTATTTCCAGAAGATGAGTTAAAATTCACACGAACATTCTATTCCCTGAACTTTACCTGTTTTATGAGCACATGCTCACGAGATTGATATGTACGTCTGCTGCTAATCATGAAGGTTCTAAGCTCGATCCGTAGAGGAGTTTTACGTGTTCTCTCCTGATGGTATCAAACTAAAATATAGCAGTGACCCAGAGATTCCTATTTCTTACCGGTCTACTAGCTGAAGCGCTAACCCACACTAATCTCCAAAACTATCTTTCTGTTCTTGGTAGATAGTTCACCACATTCCTTTTATTGTTTTACTGTTTTGTAGAAATGTTGCTTCTTTTTGTAGTTTTCAATGCCTTATCGATCTAATGAAGTTCGAATGATAAGTAATATACTGTTTGCCCCCCTGTATATAATCGGTAGGATGAAAGAAGAACTGCTGCTTTCAATTGAGATGTCATCTAGTTTCCAGTTCGATGCGGTCAGTTTATTACTGTATACCTAATTATTTTTTAAATTGATGCTAACGGTTTAAAATTTCAAAGTCATGATTTTTTCTGCCAATGTAGTTTACCAAGAAGTTCCCGCCTCAAAATAAACCTGGGAAATAAGTGATGCGCACTCAAACCATTCACCGTGCTACTGTATAGGTCCCACTGTGTTACAAAAACTTGAAATTACCAGTGTTACAATAATTTATTAGTCTTTTTGGAAAACTAGTCGCTTACATACAATGGAATTAAAAAAGTAGCTCTTAGGAATCACTTCGACAAACAATAATAGGTTTGCATTGAATAGAATCCGTTAGTATTGAGATCTAAGCATTAAGGAGATACTTGGATTCAACTCCAAGAAAGATCACGTAAAATGTTTCACTGCAATTTCATTACTGTTAGTAAAAGAAGTCTTATTTTTTATTTTCGGTTAATCATTGGATATGAATATATCAAAAAGCAATTTTTCCACGATTACCTGTTTTTAAGGATAGGGCTGAAAATCAAAAAGCCATATAGGATCTTCCACTTGTCTCTGCAACGACAGAAAGCTTCGGTTTTCCATGACTAAAAATATCAGATTGTGAATATATCACTGCAAATCCTGTTTAAAATGATTACAACTTGATAACTGCGAGATTATTAACAGAAATTTAAACTGTCAGTTTGCAGCAGAACAACTTGACAGTCACTTCATTTACTGGGCATCACTAGTTCTAACTTATAAATTTAGACATTTTGCTTCAAAGCTACTAACATTGAGTTATGTGGATCGCAAATGAACTCTAAACACGTTTAGATTTTTTGGATAGAACAAAAAAAACAATCGACGCAAAACAATATAAATTTACTTTTATTTGGTGAGTTCTTATCAGTAGCTTACAACCTTACACGTTTAGGATGATAACAGTAAATACTAGTTAGAAAATTTAATTAACAGTGGATATCAGCATAAGTTCACGAATTAAGCTAGTGAAAGATAATTTTCAAATGAATAAAAGATCAATAAGCTAAGCAAAGATTGCATAACTAAAAACAGATGAACCTCACGTCATGTTTTCGCGATAAATATATTTGTAGCTTCGCACTTGGAGCTAGTTGACTTCCGAGATCTAAAGAGTGGAACCCGAAATAAAACAGTTTCTGTAATACAGGGGTTGTACTAACCGCTTTTTAGCCGTACTAGTAGGCTCTCTTCTCAGTCAGCTACAACGTAGGACCAGGCACATATATGCATCGGTCCAAGTTGCCATACCTCATTAACACAACATGATGGACACCGGATTCATAAAAGTAATTAATTCAGAGGTGGTAATATATAAAAGAAAGATTGCAATAAAGATATAGTACAGGAAGAAGGAATTAGTTCGTAGAAAGAAATATATGAAGCGATTTTAATCTCTTAGTTGAAGGGAATACAGAGAGTGTATATACCGACACCATTGTAATCGATTCGGAGCCATGTCACCAAGAGTCTCCAACCATTGGTTAGAGACTCTTCTTCTAAAGAAAGATCGTAATCGTTAGAAATATTTACGTATAAATGCACACAGAAATCCACCAATAAGCATTCTAGGACGAACGCATCAAGTGGAATACAGTTGTAAATTAAATTTTCTGCCCTCACCTTCAAAAAGAATGAGACTGTTGGACCAACTAGTCTCAGAATAAATACCACATTTAAGACTGTCTATGCAACGGCTAAAGAACAAGTATTAAAAGGATAAAGAGAAGGGTCCATAGTTGCGTTTACGATCACCTTCCAGAAAACTTAAACCTAAACGACTCCACATCCGTAAACAGTGCAATCAGTCAACGTCTGGTCGATGATGGGCATATTGATGACCTTCACCAACTCTTCTCAATAATTTGCAGGGAAAAGAGAGCAACTGCTTAACGGATCACTCAAGCAGTAGCTATTAGAAACTGAAGCAAAATTTGTTGAAATCGCGACGGTTGTCGACTTGCCATGGCAAACTTATAATTTGTATCAGTTTGTTATAAATTATTCCCTGTATTTTTTAATGCAACCTACGCTTAGCTGATTGTCATTTCATCAAGTTAGAAATAATCTTTTCTTTACATTATTTTATGTTAACATGAGCACAGATATCTGTTTAGTTGTAACTGATTAACGTTTTAGACTCAACCAGTTTTGGAAGGTCGTATCATTATGGAGTCCAAACGCTACTTATGGTCAGCTTTGGAGCTTAAAATACAGACGACGCTTAGCGGATTTCAAAACGTTCTATACTACTATCCACAGGTTTCTTTCATAATTTGCATATCTGTCGTTTCATTCCTTATGAACATGATCTACATATCATCCATTCTTTTATACATATTATGGCGATTTCTCAAGAAATCCAGAAATCCCGAACTTTCAAAGGTTAAAGATGAACCAAAACCTGAAAACTACCCACTATGCGGTGAGATTGACTCTGAAGATAATTCATTTTCAGATTAAATCTACGTAGAAATTTGTATCACCGTTGACATTATCCATCACTTTCAGTTTCATTACAGGTCTACTGCTGTAACAACTCAAATGTTTCCTCTTAATTTTTTCATCATAGCTTATTTTTTTATGAAACTAACTAATTCTAGTCTTTGAATTACACTTTTTTACAACTAATGGGGTTTGTGAACGCCATTTGTACTCTTCAGGTGTTGACACGGGTAGAAATCCAGTTTTATTTTGCACATAACTAAAATATTCATTTTACTCCTTAAGAATGAGGTTTTATAAACATTTTAGAGATTTACAAAATCAGTGAACTAACAAATGAAAATTCGGCAGCTAACGCACAATGACAGCTAGAAGTAACAGGCGTCTGTCAAACTTCACTTTGGCCATGAGATTTTATGGATAATCTTTCGATGTTACACTGCGAACTTTGAATTCATAACACCCTAGGCCAGTCACTAACCATCTATATTGTAGAGAATATTTTCAAGCCACTATGGTTAGAAACATTAGAAATCTAAAGCCACAAATATTTGGGAGTGATGGATATTATGGTTTTCTTTTAATTACGATAAAATGAAACAACTTAAAGATTATCAGTGGCGTCGCTATGAGCAGTGTTTTAGTTGACGCAATTTAGTGAGAAACTAGATGTATTTACAGGCTTCAGTCCTGTGATTAATTAGTTATAGGTATCAATTCTAATAGTAAAGGTCCCCTTTCAGAGTTTAGTCCCCTATTTATCGCAATACACTTGGCATTTATGACTGCCAAATTTGATCACCAATATTACAAATATGACTTCCTTAAGCGAATGTGGTAAGCAGAACTTTGTCCAGTTATGACATTATAGGTGCAGTTCCATAGGGCTAAATAATGAGCAGTTGTAGTGTTTGGTGGCATGAGTTGATTCACCTCGAGGTTTCGATTTGCAAGTGCAACAACTGTTTTTGATAATGACTACATGGAGCATAAGTCTTCAATCGTTAAATAGGTTGACGTTTAAACACTTATTTGCTTGAGATACATGCTTATTCGTTTATACTGAGATCCGACGAACAGACCCTCACTTTTGTTTAACTAGTCATGGATTGCTGGGTTGTTTCACAAACTCAATGTACACTATCTAAAGTTGCCTCGATGCACAACAGTTAGAAAATGCCCATAGAATATTCAAAAATGAAGAATATTTGAGTTATGAAAACAACTGATGTAAAAGCTAAGAACTTGGGTAAAGTGGATGAAGAGCAACAAATTATTTACAGAAAGAGTGGATTTATTCACACCATATTGACTAACTCTGAGATATCTTCATTTTTAGTATATGGATATAGCAGTTGCAGAATGTTACACATAGTTTGTTAGTCACTGGAGTTCTTACGAACTTTGTGAGTACTAATCAACCTATAGGGTTGGTGTATCGCCTTGATCATTTAGCATGTCCTTTTCAACCTCAAGTTACAAATCAACCTAAGCAAACACTACAAACCACTTCAGTAACGCAGCCTCAATCACTTAAGCACCTAAGGGAGCATATTAGTCCGACCGCCCGTTACTTTACTGCACGATATAGCGACCACGTACCACTAATCGTTTGACTAAATTACACTTATCACGATATTAATAGGCGTCAGATGTATTTCAATATTAATTTACAAAATAGACAGTCTTATGATGCTTTGACGGGTACGAGGATGTTTGACATAATAGATGTGACGCGGTAACCTCCCACAAATACAGATCACTCGATAATCCCATCGAGGAACTCGTACTTCTGGGTTGATTGAACAGTACTCTGAACATGTTGCTTGGTGACCGTTTTCTTGCCTTCTTGTGCAGTTACTTCAATAACACTACGACAAAAATCTTGTATAAATTGCTCACATAGAAACCCAATTGAAGCCAGTGCCTCGGAAGTAACTAGAGAAACAGACGGCACCGTTTTTACTATTATTTTAACACGTGAGAGAGGAAGTTTACTTAACTTTTCTGTAGCGGGTATACTATGATTTATTTCCACGGAAGTGCAACCATCTAAGAAAAGTATGCAAACGAGTTGACGTTACCTTCTCGGAGTGATGACTTGTCTGCTTCCAAATTAGACATAATATTCAGTTATGATATTGAGTAATCGTAATGTCCAGTAAGTTATATCGTTGCGACTAGCCAACTGATACTTTGAAGTAATATTTGGGAGAGAGGCCAATGATGATTTAAATAAAGTTCACTTAACCAGTAAAGGAATCTGAAAGGGATTATAATTCAATGACATGTAGGACCATCTTTGCGAACAGTAAACCATTGAATTACCGCTACATTTAACAAATTTGAAACAGTGATTTGACTTAAGTGTTTGTAATTAGTTAAATAAACACTTTCTAGTCTCAATATGACTAGCTACCTAAAAAATTATATCCTGTTCCCTAGAAGTGTGAAGGCAATTTCATTGTGGTTGTAGTGACAATTACGACATTATTCGTTCGGGCATGATTTCGGTATTTATTGTTTAGTATGGCCATATATAACTCTTCGCAAAATTATTATCTCACGAACATAGCATATTTCAAGCTCTAGAAATTTTATGTAGCTAAATGTGTGTCAATAATGGCTAGGCTGCAGCGATGCCCTATCCAGGAATCAAATAAAACCTGTTATTGGGCAACTTATCTATCATACATAATGAAGTTAGCCGCTTTCTGAAATCACGACATCAGTGCTTCTTGACTACTTCGGAACTGCCGTCTAAGGACTTGATGTCGTGTTCGGTTCAGTGGTTAACTTGCTTCCCTACGCCTGTTGATCCTCGTGGAAGAGGAAAGGCCGCCCACCAGCACATTTCATCCAACCCTGTCCTATGCAACCCTTTCCCGTTCTTTCCAGCTGTTGTTTATCTTCTTCACGCCTGCTTCCAATTATCGACGCAGTGTGTTCTTTGTTCTTCCTCTTTTCTACTTCCCTTGAAGTTTCCAAGTTTGTCCTCTCCCACAGAAGGCTGTTGTTGATGGAATACGGCCAATGAATGTTGAGTATCTTGCGTAGACAACTATTCACAAAACATTTTAGGCTGTTGATGATGGTTGTAGTAGTTCCCCCGTTTCAGTTCCGTACAGTAGGACTGTCTTAATGTTCGTATTGTAGATTCAGACTTTGATATTGGTTGACAGTTGTTTAGAGCTCCATATGCTCTTTAATTGTAGGAATGATGCCCTTGCTTTGTCAATCCCCTTCTTTAAGCAAGTACCAGGTCTTTCTTGTTTATTGATGACGCTTCTCAGGTACATGAAGGACTCCATATCTTCAAGAGTTTCTCCTTCAAGTGTGACTGGGTTGGCATTCTCAGTGTTGTATTTGGGGATCTTCCTTTTTCCTTTGTATGTATTGAGGCCTACTGATGCAGAGATTGCTGTGTAGCGGTAAATAAAGCCCCAAAATAAATAGCTCTGTAAGTTTTCGACATTGGATGCTGACCATATGTCTTAGTGGACTCATCTAGCTGAAGGCGCTCGGCCATGCATCAGCACCAGATCACGTGTGGTAACGCCGTGCTCAACATCAACCGCAATCGCTAGCCAGATTAGATCAGAGAATTCCGATATATTGGTCAACGCCAAATATACTCTTCCGATCTCCTCGACTCTGTCTTTTGATTTCTCTGGGTGGTAACGAAATACATTAGAAGGTGTTACTGGTAGAAGCGTTGTCAAACACTGAATACCTGTCACATCATCATTGGTGAGACCGTCGTGATCTGGTACACCTTATTGCTACTGTGAGTCTGTTTCTTTTTGGGATTTTTATATATCATTGCCTTTTTTTATTTTTTTTAAACACCGTGATTTTTTTTCGTGTTTTTTTCTGGATATATATATTTTCCCCTTGTTCATTATAGTATTTCATATTTCATCATGACTGAACAGACACCTAAAGTACTCAAGCTTAAGACTTTGTCCCCACCTTCGTTTCAAATGATGTCTTTCTGGCCCGACAACATCGAAGCCTGGTTCTGCTACGCAGAAGCCGACTTCTCCGAGCACGGCGTGATCGACACACGTGCACAATTCCTCGCAGTAGTCAAGGCACTACCGCGCGAATTCAACAGGTACGTACCACCTAGTATGTTTACTAGTGATGTTTCCGAACCTTACGAAATACTAAAATGCTCGATTCTCAAACGAGGAGACCTAACCGATCGGCAAAGGTTAGATCAACTCTTCAACAATATCGACCTGCAACACGGTTCTGCGACGGACATGTTGCAACGGATGAGAGAGATTATAGGCCCAAGAACTTTCGACGAAGGCCTATTCAAACAACTCTTCTTGTCAAAACTTCCCCAACAGGTGCAAGCAGTTCTGGTCTCGTTCCAGAACAACGCCCTAGACGAGCTAGCTGCATCTGCCGACCGCATTCTAGAAATTACGAAACCTACTACTGAGGTATTTTCAGTCAAAGAAAAGCCTCAAACGACTCAGAAGTACATAACCGAGTTATGTCACACACTCACTAGTTATCTTAGTCTTCGTACCGACCATCAGAGATCGCGCACACCACGTAGAAGCATTTCTCGTAAGCGATCAGTCTCTAGACCACGAGAGACAGATAACCCCGACTGGTGCTGGTATCATAACCAGTATGGAAAGCTTTCCAGAAATTGCAGAAAACCCTACAATTTCCCCAACACGAAAACGACTGATTCGAAAAGCAATTCGGGAAACTTCCAAGCCGGCACGCAGTAACGGCGACAGTAGCCGGCGAACATAGCCGTCTGTTATTCGTCACAGATGTGACAGTGAGAGTTCGCTACCTCGTCGACACTGGCGCAGAAGTTAGCGTTCTCTCAGCAAATCCGAACGTCCGACTTCCCGAATCGGCCCTAAACTTACAGGCGGCAAACGGAAAACCGATCGCTACGTATGGCAAAAGGTACGTTTACCTTAACGTGGGTTTACGCAAACCCATTCACTGGATCTTCGTTGTTGCAGATGTTTATATGCCAATCATTGGTATGGACCTTCTACAACATCACAATCTGATCATCGACACTCGCAAACGGAGGCTAATAGACGGAAACACTAATCTGTCTGTTGCGTAACATCTTTTACTGGTTAAAATTATCCCCAGTCACAGTTAAACATATGATAGACCAACTCTATCAACCACTACTCGATAAGCACCCTGGGATACAACAAACTCAACCGAAACTACCGTTTGTAACCGGCAATGTTACACATCACATCACGACTACAGGACCTCCCGAAAAGCTAAGGTTAGCGAAAAACGAGTTCGACCATATGAGAGACTTAGCAATCATACGACCGTCAAATAACCCATGGGTGTCTCCGTTGCACATTGTCCCTAAAAAGGACAGCAACGATTGGCGTCCAACTGGTGACTATCTGTGATGGAATGCGAAAACCATTCCCGATCGTTACCCGTTGCCTCATATTCACGAGTTGACAGCTACCTTGAAAGGTACAACTGTCTTTTCGAAAATCGAATTGATTAAAGCTCATAACCAAATTACCATGGCCACTGACGACATTTCGAAAACAGCTATCATAACTCCTTTCGAACTTTACGAATTTTTGCGAAAGCCCTTCGGTCTAAGAAATGCTGCTCAAACATTCCAAAGATTCATAGACGACGTTTTTCGAGGTCTCAACTTCGTACACGCGTATGTTGACGACTGTCTAATTGCAAGTCCGGACAGAGAATCACATATCAAACATCTGTATCTTGTTTTCGACCGACTACAAAAACATGGCATTACTGTAAACATTCAGAAATGCGAAATAGGAACAGACTCATTAGACTTCCTAGGACACACTATAGATGCGCAAGGCATTCCAACCCTTAGAACAAAAGTGGCAGCCATTCTGGATTACCCAGAAACGACCATGATCAAGCAACTACGAACGTTTAACAGCCTCGTAAGTTTCTATAGACGGTTCATACCAAAATGAGAGTCCCTTACTACACCTCTAACCGACAAACTTCGTGGAAGTGCGAAATCCATCAATTTGGATGATACCGTGCGAAAAGCATTCTCCACAGTTGAGGAACCTACCTCTAAACTAACAGTGCTTGCATATCAGGACACTGAAGCATCCATTAGTATCGCGGTAGATGCATCCGACTCAGCAATCGGAGGAGTCTCAAAACAATGGGCTAACCACTCCTAACAACTTTTGGCATTCTTATCGAGACAGCTGTTAGACACCGAATTGAGGTATAGCACATTCGGCAGGAAACTCCTAACTATTTATTGTGCTGTACGGCATTTTCAACACTATATCGAAGGCCGTGAATTCACCCTTTTTACTGACCATAAACCGCTCACTTTCTCGTTAAGCTCCTCTTCAGACAAGTACTCTTCCCGTGAGTTTCCACAACTGGAACACATTTGCAGTTTACCTCAGATATTCAACACATTTCTGGAGCAAACAATGTAGTCACAGACGCCTTGTCTCGCATAACTTCCTTGAACAGTTTCCAAGGAATCGATATTCTTAAACTCACCCAGCTTCCAAAAGAAGACACTGATCTTCAGCACGAGTTATCGACCACAACCCTCGAGTTACGTATCAAACAGATGGGAACAGGTAAGGAAACCTTACTGCATGACACATCTACAGATAGGGATAGCCCAGTCATGCCGAAATATTATCGACGCAACGTCTTCAACACGTTGCACAAACGTTCTCATCCAGGTGTCCGTGCAACCATCAAGCGTATAGCAGAACGGTTTTGCTGGCCTGGCATGAATAAAGACGTGAGGGAGTGGGCACGCTCCTGTGTAAGATGCCAAAAATCTAGGGTTATCAGACGCAATAAATGTCCATTAGGCTCGTTTCAAACTCCCGACGCTGGTTTCGACCATGTTCATCTGGATTTGGTTGGATTTTTACCAGATTCAAATGGATACTCTTATCTCTTATCCTGCGTGGACCGTTTCATTTGATGGACAGAAGCAGTAATTATCGAAGACATCACTGTCGAAACAGTGGGCCGCGCCTTCTTCGAGCGATGGGTAGCAAGCATTGGCTGCCATCTATCACTGCAGACAGTGGACACTGGTTCGAGTCTGGACCTTTCCGCTGTCTTACTACACTATTAGTAATTACAATATCTTGAACGACCGCCTACCACCCACAAGCAAGCGTTCCACAGTGAACCGATGCTCTTCCACTCGTCTTACTAGGTATCCGCAATGCAGTGAAAGCTGACATTGGATACACTGCGGCTCAAATCGTTTATGGAACGACACTTCGACTTCCAGGAGAATTCACGGATCCTTCATCCTCTTCAATGAGCATGGATCTAACCTCCT